TCATCTCTGAGGACTCCCATCAACAGCAAGGTTAGGGCTTTGGCTCAGGAATGTGGCACTAAGGATGATGAAATTGCTAGGCTCAAGGCTCGTGTGGCTGAGTTGGAAACTGAGAGAGATGGCCTTAGAACTGAGCTAGCCAAAGAAAAGGAGAAGAGTGATGGAATGCTTCAGAATATGCTGAACCTTCTCCAATCTCAACCCTCTAGTTCTTCCAAGCCTTAGGTCTCCTAGCACTTGTCTTCTGAACCAGTCTAGTACCCCTAGTGACCCAGATTAGGGATGTTTCTGTTTTGCTTGCTCATGTTTTGAAAGTTTTCTTTCTTTTTGTGGTTTGTTTGTGGAAGCATATCTCTATCAATGACAACTGCTGGTTTCTCTTGTTCACTAATGATTTTGATCTTGATAGTTTAAATATGTTTGTTGATTATTGATAATTGCACAATGATTGCAGTTGCCCCCGTGGCCATGAGTACTTATTAAAATTTGGGATTCACACTATGTATGCAACTTTTCGATGATGCCAAAAGGGGGAAGAGATATTGTGCTCGACTCATTATTCTGATTAAGTGATATTTATAACCTAATTAACCTGGTCCTTGATGATAAGTAAAATTTCTAAGTTAAGTGTTATCGGTTAAGCTGAGTTCTTACAGTTTCTTTGATCAGTAAAAAGCACAGAGTTTGTCATCATCAAAAAGGGGGAATTTGTTGGCCCAAGAACAGGTGAAGTTTTGAAGAATGACAAATGAACTCAGTCATGGACCAGGTCCATCATGTGAAGCACAGTGTTTATCAACCTATACATGTGAGATGCACGTGAAGGAGATAAGTCCCATTGATCAAGAAGCAATATCTCCTGAACTGATCGAAAAGCTTGCATATGGGATAAGCAGAGAAAGTCTTCTTATGAGAAGAGAATACAATCCGGATAAAATATAGGGTTGGAGTTTGTGTTTTTCAAGGACTCAACTTCGATGGAAGATCAGCAATTGAGTCTCAATCAAACTCTAATTACTAACTCATTAAATAACAGTGATTGTTCTCTTTTACAGGTGTTGCACATACGTAGAAGTAAAACTAAATTGAGAGCAAAAGAGCAAGGCGATTTTGCAAGCAATTTATGTGAGATTTAAGTGTGCACTCCTGAAGCTACTTGAACAAGATAGAAGAACCAGTTCTATTGCGTTTTTTCTTATTCTAGTTCAATTGTAGTAAGTGGATTAAAGTTGTACCTTTCAGCTTTTATAGAAGCAATTGTAATAGGTACTTTGAGTATTCAAGTTATAGGCTAACTTGAAGTTGTCGCAACAGTTGAGACTGTCTGCTACAAAGGGATTAAAGTTAATCCTTAGGTTTACAAAGAGTTTTTGTAAATGCTGTTTTGGCTCAGTGATTTTAGTGGAAGTTTGGGAAAATCCTATTGAGTAGTAGGTCGTGGTTTTTTCACCTTTTGAGCCAGGTGTTTTCCACGTAAAAATCCCTGTGTTCTTTATTTTTTGTACTTTTAATTCCGCAAACAGTAGTAGTTAGATCACTTAGAAGAACCTGGTTCTTCTAGATCGAAAATTGGGTACCACACAAATCATCCCCCTCTTGTGTGGTATTGACGTTTAGAACATCAGTGGATTAGTTAGAAAATTAGTTAGTGATAATTACAGTTAATTATGTAGCTAATTGTTAGTTAGTTGAAGTCAATCTCTATAAACACAGTTGTACAGCCCATGAACACAGTATCTCTACATCTGTTGAATGGAGTTGTTTATGCTTCCAATGCACATCTGGTTTGGAAGGATTTACAAGAGCGATTTGATAAGGTCAATCGTATGAGAATTTATCAGTTGCATTGTGCGATTGCAACGATCTCGCAGGGAACTGGTTCTATTTCAGTCTACTTCACAAAATTGAAGGAACTTTGGGATGAATTTGATCCTATGGCTCCTACTCCTAGTTGTGGGTGTGAGAAACCTAAAGACTATGTTGAACATCTTCACCAACAAAGATTGCTTTAATTTCTAGGAGGATTAAATGATCTCTTGCTCAAGCTAGGAGGCAGATATTGATGAAGACTACTGAGCCTACTCTGAACCAGGCGTATGCTTTAATGATAGAGGATGAGACTTAGAGATCAGGTTCTCCTCAAAGTCTCGTCAGTTCTAGAGAAAGAAACGATATCACTGCCTTATGGACTGCTAAAAATTCACAGCAGAACTACAACACAGTTCAGTGTGAGCATTGTAAGATGAAGGGCCGCAGTAAGGAAAATTATTACCAGCTCATTGGCTATCCACCTGACTTCAAGAGGAGAAGAAAGCAAGGGGCCAATGTTGTGAGTTATGGTGGATCCAATTCTACAAACTATGGTGGACTTAAGGAGACAAATCTTTTTGGTGGATCTAATAGCACACCTGGTTCTGCCGCACCCTATCCTACTCAGCCTCAAGGCCACACTGATGCTTATAGTGTGATAACAAGAGGACTCAGCAATAACTCTGGAGGAAACCATGCTGGACCAGATGTGGGGGTAGGGGGAGCAGGACCTATGTCTTTTACACCAGAACAATACAACCAGTTGCTCAGAATACTAACCAAAGACAACAATCCTTCAACTCCAACAACTAACATGACAGGTATCGTTAGATTTTTTATGGCTACTAGTGTTAATCCTGAATGGATAGTTGATACAGGAGCCACTGATCACATGGTTTCTAACCCTAAGATGATGTCTGAAAAGCATACACCTGAAAATCACTCAAATACAGTACACTTACCAAATGGATCTCAGCTCCCAATAGCTCATGTTGGTAAATGTACACTGAACCAAGGGGAAATATTAGGGGTCCTTTGTGTGCCTGGTTTTAAATACAACCTTCTTTCAGTCTCTAAGATTACCAAAGAACTGAATTGTTGTATGGCATTTTTTCCTGATTTTTGTCTTGTGTAGGACCTTCACACTGGGAAGGTGAAGGGGACTGGTAAACTTCTTAATGAACTTTATTACTGGGATCACAAACATAGTAACAAGATGGCTCATTCAGTTGTGTTACATGTAAGGAGTGATGAGGAGACATGGCACAGAAGATTAGGACATGTACCTCACAAAATATTGAAGCAAATGGATCTAGTGAAGCAGTATAATAAAGCTGGCAGCAGCCCATGCTCTATTTGCCCTCTTTCCAAACAGACTAGGCTACCATTTCTACAAAGTACTAGTAGAGCAACATGTTCTTTTGATTTAGTACATGGTGATATATGGGGACCCTATAGAGTCCCTACTTATGATGGAAACAGATATTTTCTAACTCTAGTAGATGATCATAGTAGATTGGTTTGGATTTTTCTGTTAAGGCTCAGAAGTGATGTTTCCATTTTAATGAAGGATTTTCTGATCTTAATAAAAACTCAGCTTGGTAGAACTATGAAGGTCTTCAGGAGTGACAATGGTACAGAGTTCTTTAATACTCATTGTTAGGATATTTTTAGATCAGCAGGGATTGTTCATCAAAGTTCTTGTGTACGTACTCCCCAGTTGAATGGAGTGGTGGATAGAAAACATAGGCAAATATTAGAAGTTTCCAGATCAATTAGATTTCAAGGTAGCATTCCCTTAAGATTCTGGGGGTTGTATGTGCAGAGTGTTGTATACCTTGTTAACAGAATTCCATCCACTGCATTGTCTGGAAAATCTCCATTTGAAGTGTTATATGGCAAGAAACCTAACGTTCAACACCTAAGAGTTCTTGGATGCTTATGTTATGCTACTAGAACAGGTGCTAGTACAGATAAATTTGATGTTAGAGCAGAAAAGGCTGTCCATTTGGGGTATTCTTCTACTCAAAAGGGTTACAAACTCTATAGTCTAACTAATCATAACATGTTTGTTAGTAGGGATGTAGTGTTCTGGGAGAATGTATTTCATTCTAGCTCTCCTGCTACAAGGGGCACATTTGAACCAGTTACTCCACTTCAAACATCAGATGCAAAAGAATTTTTTGTATCCATTCATGTCACAGATAATGCACAGGTTGCTCATAGTGCTAATCCTCCCAACATGGTTGAACCAATTGAAAGTTCAGTTGATTGCTCACCTATAATGCATAATGAGCCAACAGATTCTACAGAATCACCAGCTACAACAAGCACTACAAACAATAATGAACCACCTATTGTGGTCATGAGATCATCCAGGCCTTCCAAGGCACCAGGTTGTCTTCATGGTTTTGTGCATCAACTGCCTCCAAGAAAGTCTTCTGGAACTTCTACTGCAAGCTCAGCCTCCATGTATCCTATTTTCTCTTATATGTCCTATGCTTCTTTGCCAGATTCATATTTTAAGTTAGTATGTAATTTTTCAGCTATTAAAGAGCCAACCTCTTATGCTGAGGCCATGCATGATCCTAAATGGATTGAGGCTATGGACAAGGAATTGAAGGCTCTCAATGACAACAACACTTGGTGTATGGTAGATCTACCAGCGGGAAAAAGGGCAATAGGTTGCAAACGGGTCTTTAAAGTCAAGTATAATGCACAGGGAGAGGTGGAAAGATATAAGGCAAGGCTAGTGGCCAAGGGGTACACACAGCAAGAAGGCCTAGATTATCAGGAAACTTTCTCTCCTGTGGTCAAGATGGTGATTGTACGAGCAGTTTTATCTCTAGCTGCCATGCATGGATGGAAGCTCTATCAGATGGATGTATTCAATGCCTTTCTGCAATGAGATTTGGTGGAAGATGTCTATATGATTCCACCACTAGGCCTTGTTAGCCAGGGGGAGTCCTCTCAAGATTGCAAGCTTCAAAAGTCACTCTATGGCCTCAAGAAAGCCTCTAGGCAATGGAATCTCAAACTATGTGAAGCGTTAACTGCGTCTGGATTGCTCAAAGCCTTCATGATTATTCCCTCTTTACTAAGCATTGTGGTCAAGATCAGGTCCTAATGCTAGTATATGTAGATAATCTTCTGATCACTGGATCCAATCCCACCATGATAGAGGCTACTAAATGCATGCTACAACAACATTTCAAGATCAAGGACCTGGGGAGATGAAGTACTTTCTTGGTCTTGAAATTGCTCGAAGTAAGCAGGGAATTATAGTCTGTCAAAGGAAATTTGCTCTTGACTTGATCAGTGATCTTGGTCTTGCTGGTTCTAAGCCAGCAGGCACACCATTAGAGGTGAATCAAAGGCTTACTAGTGTGGAGTTAGACGAAGGAGGAACCTGTAATGCATATCATGATGAATTATTGCCTGATCCTACCAGTTATCAGCAGCTGGTAGGAAAGTTGTTGTATCTCACAATGACCAGACCAGACATAGCCTACGTTGTGCAGAATTTGAGTCAATTCATGCAAAAGCCAAAGAAATCTCATATGGAAGGAGCTCTAAGGGTGGTAAGGTATCTGAAGAATGCACCAGGGATCAACGGACTTCTCATCACAACTCACAGTGCATTGTGAAGCAGATTGGGCAACTTGTCCAATGACAAGGAAGTCAGTCAGTGGATTTGTGGTCAAGCTGGGAGATTCTTTGATCTCTTGGAAATCAAAGAAGCAGAACACCATTTCAAGGAGCTCAGCAGAGGCAGAATACAGAAGCATGGCAAATGCAGTGGCAGAGATAGTCTGGTTAGTAGGATTGTTCAAGGAGTTGAATTTTAATGTTGAAGTGCTAGTGAAGCTGTTCTACGACAGTAAGGCATCAATTCAAATTGCAGTAAATCCCATATTTCATGAGAGCACTAAGCACGTAGAGATTGATTGTCATTTCCTCAGAGAAAAGGTGCAGGAGGGTCTTGTTCAAAAAGTTCATGTTCCATCAAATCTGTAGCTAGCTGATATTCTTACAAAAGGACTTGGTAAATCACAGCGTGATTTCTTGTTGTCTAAGCTGGGAGTGTTCAATCTTTTCTCACTACACAGCTTAAGGGGGAGTGTTAAGAGGAATGATGGCGTGGATTAGTTAGGAAATTAGTTAGTGATACTTACAGTTAATTATGTAGCTAATTGTTAGTTAGTCGAAGTTAGTGTCTATAAATACAGTTGTACAGCTCATAACAGTCAGTTGGAATAACAGAACTGCTCTGCTTCTTCTCCATTCTCTTCTTGTCCTTCAATCTAGAAACTTCCATGGCTGGATCTCAACAAAAGGTATATTCGTTGATGGGTTAACTTGTGTATGTTAGCACAGATTAGACGAAGAATATAACAGACTTCTACTTAAACCAGTCCAGTTCTATCATTTTTAATTGGAAAACATACAAACACATGTTTTACATACTGCATCTAACAACATTCGTTATATAAATTTAAATATATTAGCTTTGTGTCGGTAGTTTTTGTCAAACCTAATTACCACACTGCAAATGGCATGGAACTAAATAAATGGAAAATATGCTTTAATATTTATCCAAACAAGGTACAGGAGGTGAAGTTGAAGAGGCTTTTCCTTTGGCATTATTGCAAATAGCAAAAATCTTTTGTCCAGGGACAACTGGAATTATGTTGATATTCTCCATCTCAATGTTGGTGCAAGCTGTGCTATTGCTACAGTTCAAATTTATTGCTGCTTTGCTGCTTGTACTTCCATGTATATTCTTGTATGTTATATCACTCACTTTCACTGCACTTACCTGTTCACAACATTTAAAAAAATTAAAATTAAAAAAAGGATGAAATTTTAAAAGACTTTATAGAAAAATAAAAAATGATTTTTTTTTTTTTTACTTTATTTTTTACCTGAGGTTGACATGAATGACCTCCATTGCAATAAAACTGATCAATAATGATGGGGTTTTCTACGTTTTTGAGGTGAATATCTTCAAAATGTATAGACCTAGCATATCCAGAACCACCCTATGAAGGCATGAAGAGATAATTAATTAGTATTTATGAGTACAAGTATTCATAATTCTTTTATCCTTTTAATTAATATTAATATGAAAGGTGAAGGAGAGCCTTGGAGCAACGGTAAAGTCGTCTCTGTATGACCTATAAGTCACAGGTTCGAGCAGTGGAAGCAGTTACTAATTAAATGCTTGCATTAGGATAGGCTAGATGTCTACATCACACTCCTTGGAGTGTGGCCCTTAACTGAACCTTATATGAACGCGGGATGCTTTGTACACCAAGCTGGCTTTTTTTAATATTAATATGAAAGATGAGACTTTGTTTACCTGCCATGTCTTAATTCTAACACCATTCTGGGTTCCCTCAAGGTTACAATTTGTTGCATAGACGTTTTCCACGTACGCATATGTGTTATCTGGACCTAAGCTTCCCACACTGCATACAATGTATGTTACTATTAGTTATTTACTTATTTACCATATAATGAAAATGTGTTTCACATTTATTGTAAAGAAATAAATAGAAATTTAAAAGAAATATAAGATGGAGTTGTACCTTATACCATGCCCTGGTCCACATGAAATACCAGAAATATGAACATCAACGCACCCAGTATTGATGGCAATGCAGTCATCACCTGTTTGTTATTAATTTTTTGTTGGATTATTGAATTTTGGTGTAAACATGAAACACTTTATGCAGTATAAAAGGGTTTCAATAACAGTAGTAGTTAAAAAATTAAAAAAAATAAAAAAAACTTAATTATTGCTAAGTGATGGACAGGTCATGCATAACATAAATTACTACAGTTTATATTGGATTAGGATCTTAGATGAATGGAGTGAAATTCATTATTTTATTTTTAAAAATTGTGAAACTCCAAATTCTGCTTTTTGCTTAATAAAAGTGTATGAAATAAGGATTTGGGAAAATTCTGTTTGTCTTAACCAACATATTCCGATAATATTTTTTGTTTATATTATGAAATTAATATTCACATAATTAAACTCCAAATTGTTCGCTTCCTACTCGAAAAATATTTCAGAAAATTAAAGTTACCTTTGGATTTTCTTTTATCGGAAAAAACTTTCTAATTTTATTTTCGAAAAATAAAGTGCATTTAAGAACAACCACGATTATTTTCATTTTTTGTTTTATGTAAATATTTGCAAACCTTTTTTTTTTCCTAATTCATAAACGGGGATAGATTTAGAGGTCGGGTACGTAAATTTTATTTTGAGATTATTATAGGAATCCGTAAATTTTAGATCTTGAATCCGCCTCTATCGAACAGACAAGTTAAAGATTTTAGGAAGTTGAGAGTATAAGAAGTACCTGTCTGAATAGTGGAGTCTTGAATGTGAAGTTGGCTAGAGTTAGAGATATCAATACCATCAGTATTGCGACTATATTTTGGTGCACTAATATGAATATTTGAGATGGTTACTCCTTTGCTGTAAGTCAGGCTTATATGATTTCTCGAACTATTCACTAGCTTAATTCCACTCAATTGAAGGCCGTTACAATAATTAAAGTGGACAGCCTACCAAGAAAAAGAAGGGGAAAAAATTCTTGTAAATGACATATATGCGAATATTAAAAGACTCAAAGTAATAACACATAAGGTGTGTTTGGTACGGAAAAAAATATAAGTGATTGTCTTATATATTTTTCAACGATTGATTAAATAGCAGAAAATAATTTTATAAAATATACTATAATTCAGGCAAACACAAGACTGAAATAGGTAAGGGCGGTAGGTCGGGGTCTAGGGGCCAGAGTGGCAGTGGCGATGTTATGGGGGAGGGAAGAGGGTAGATGGGTGGGGTCGGAGTGAGGAAAAGGGTGGAGAAAGTTGAGAAAAAATTTTGAAAAATATTTTTTCATCTTTTGATAGGAAAAAAAAATTATTTTCCTCTAATTGGAAAAAATAAGTTCATGAATAAAATATTTTTCAAAATATTTAGGTCGTCCAATACACTCATAGTAAGGTAATATCACCATAATTAAAAATTAATCTTAGAGAATTTCCTAAAAAAATTCATACTGTTGGTTTAGTGCAAGTTCCGTTCACCTGAAACAAGAACAATCTCACTTGTTAATACTTATCCAATCAATTAAACAAGGTCAAAGTACTAGTTAAAAACATTGATCACCTGAACTTAACAAATAATAGGGTAAAAATAATTACTATCTTTCATATAAATAAGTTATTGAATCCACTAAACATAAGAGAAGTTTCTCTAGTGTAACTATAAAAGTGATTCAAAAATCATTTTAGTTTGAATCCCAGATTTCACATTATTGTATTTTTATAAATGTGCTTATTAAAATTTCTAGCTTCGCGCAATGCAATATTAAATGATAATAAAATAGAGGGATGTTTAAAACGCACCCTGATACCACTAGGAGTATTCCACCAGCGTTGACCATTGCCATTAATAGTACCAGAACCATTGATGAAGAGACCAAAAACACCTGTAAAATATATCCAACTAACATTTTCACAACCTTTCCATTCCTTTGGATCCTCTGGTGCTACAATTGATCCTGATACCTGCAAAGCAATTGCTAGATGTTTATGTTCAGAAAATAGTGCTATTTTTATCGATGCACAAAGTATTTCGCGTTCACGCAAGGTTTGAGGAAGGCCCGCAACCAAGGGATGTAATATAGACAGACTACCTAATGCAAGCATTCGTGGTTTGCTTTCACGACTATTGATCCAAGGCTACTCTTACCCCAAAAAAAATAATGCTACTTCATGAAATCACAAGCCTGTTGTGATATATCTTTGGCATAATTTCAGAGACACGCCCTCAGATTTTGCTTCGTAACACTAACCGGGGCGAAGCTATGTCGGGCCAAGAGTGGTCAATTGAACACTCTTAGCCGAAAAATTATACTACGTATAAGGTAAAATATTACTTATTATTGATTAAAAAATATATTTTGGAAACCCTTGCATAGCCTACCGGCAAAGGGCGTTTAAAATTTGGACACCCTTATTGAATTTCCTAACTTCGCCATTGAACACTAATTTCTCTTGTGATTAAATGTTACACTTACCTACCTATATTAATTTCTTTGTAACAATCTTTTTAATCTACTTCTCATTAATATAAAAGAACTAATATCTTATACCCAATTTGTCCTTTTCTAATATTAAACTCTTCTAATTAATTAATTATATGAATATCTTTTTCAACAAGCTCTTTAACAACGAAAAACATAATACCCTTGTAAATAAATAAATAAAATTATACGCTAGGTTTATGCCCTGTCAATTTTCAATGCCGCTCTCAATTCTATCTTTAAACAAAAGCTAATTTATGCCTTTCCATCTTTTTGATGCTCAACACGTGCATTCGCATGATTTTGTCTAATTATTGTGTTTGTAAAGTTTCTTTGTAATCTCAATGTCGCATCACGTACTCAAGCATATGGATTAACTCCATATGCATATGTTTCCTCTGTTAGTATATATGCATGATATCGTTGAATAAAATAAAAGTTTATTGAAAAAAGGTAAATTAGTCAACTTGTAATTTTTTATATTAAAAACAAATAAGTTAAAAAGTTGATACAAAAATCAAAATAAGAGAGACGAAACGTAACATCATAAATCATAATGAATTTAGTGTTACGAAGCGAAACCTGAGCAAAAATCTTTGAAATTATCCTTTTTTAAGTACTAGTTCGTTCTTATTATAGGACTTCACATATATATATATATATATATATATATATATATATATATATATATAATGAAGCAAACTTACTTGTAGATGAATATTGGAGGATTTGCAAGGTCCTTGGAATGTAATAGGTCGTATTAAAAATGACTTTCCACTTGGTATAACCATTGACGGATTTCTACTTTCACCCCTACACGCAGCTGTCCAAGCTTGTTTGAATGCCTACAAAAATTGATTAAAAAATATATGAAATCTCTTAAACAACTTAATTAACGGGAAAAAGAGCAATTTTTATTCTACTTTCCTTGAAAAGGGGGGCTTCAATCAAAGTAAAAGATTACTTTTATTCTTTATTATTTAAAAAAGATCTTACTAAAATGCCATAATATATATGTCCAAATTTAGATGATACATGCTCTGAGCACACGGGTCTTGGTTTCGGTGTATAAGCAATTGAAATACGTGTGTTACGGCTCAGTCTCAAACAAGCATAGAATAAAAGTAACAAGTGAAACATAAGTTAGTTGAATATTTAAAAGTATTTGTATTACTTGAGTGTCGTCGTGCTTTCCATCTCCAACAGCGCCATAACTTGTTACATCAAAAACAGCAGCAAGACTTCTATCAAGAATAAATGGAGTAATACAGATCAAAAAGATGAAAGCTCGATCCTGCAAAAATGTGGCACAAAAGAAATGAAAAAAATGAATAATCATGATTATCGATAAAAGTCGTAATAGCTATACAGGGTAACTCGGTGTACAAGGCATCTCGCCTTCATGCAGGATTCGGGGAAGGGCCGCACCCCAAATGGGTGTGACGTGGGCAGCCTATCATAATGCAAGCATTAGTGGCTGCTTTCACGGCTCAAACCCATAAACTACCAGTTAAATCCCCGTAACCAAAAGACAAAATCCTAACTCAAAATGAATAAATTAAAACATTGAGCTCACCATTCAAGTTAAATCGACTGAAGAATAGTGAACAAACTCGTTCTTTTTTCCCTTTTTTTTTCTATGTTATTTTTGTTTGGAGGAGGGGCGGATTTATACGCTTCTGATCATTGCATTTATTATGGGAAATGAATTTCAGAAATCTACTAAAAGATTCATTGAAATCCTCCTTAAGTATGACTTACTCACTATAGATGAGTTAGGAATTAATTCTTCTAAAGCCTCATTAATACTAAGATATTGCTCTTCTCCATCTCACACTAACAAATCTCTCTTCAAACTCAAGTACTCCCTCCGGTTCACAATAAGTAACCAATTTGTTTTTTTATTTTGATCCAATATAAGTGTCCATTTATATAATCAAGAAAAAATTCATTTTGTTTTTCCAAAATTGCCCTTATGTACGTATTCCTAAAAAGTCATTTACTTCTCACATTTGAGAAGAGAAGTGAGTGTTACTATAACTATAGTGCAACATTTAATGAAGGGTAGTTTAGTCACACTAACTATTTTCTTCTAGAATTTAGTATTTCCTTAATGGGTGTGCCCAAAGCAAATTGGTCAATTATTGTGGAGCGGAGAGAGTAATTTTGGATCAATGTTTCATTAAATGATATTTAGGAAAAATAGCAACTTTGGTCCCCAACTATTGTTATATTCTATTGTTACTCCTTGTTAAGCATATCTAACCTTCAATTAAAGAAAGTGTGCACTTCTAATCCAATATTACCAGTAACTAACGGACACCGTAGGCAGACATCATAGGAACTATTTTTGTACGTAAAATTAGGGTGAACCCCCTTGTAATGCAAGACAACGCAACAACAGGGAACTGCAGCTCCGAAACAATAATATAACTATTCTTGCTATATTATATAATTATCTAGTTCACCAAAAAGAAATACTACTAACGGCGCAAATATGGCTTTTAACACTCAAAAGGAAAATAAAATTGTCATACCCGAGCACGCCAACAAACCATACAAGGCACTAGTGACGAAACTTGAAATGAAGAATTGTACCCCCACTACCTCAAAGATCAATTGAAATCCTCGAATTGTTTTTGCTAGACCAATATATTTTTTTGGAGAACCGGTAATACTTCTGCTACGAAAAAGAGTTGTGATATGAAACGCTCAATTTTTCACGCTATGAGTTACGATCCCATGGACAGCTTACCAACTATACTTCAATTTCAACTCAAGAGTCAGCTCGTGAATATAATATATAGTGGTAGTTAGGGGTTTACAAAGGAAACCGACAAACCGCACCAACCCGATAATCCGAGTCAAACCGAGAAAAAAAACCCGACTATGGTTTGGTTTGATTTGGTTTGGTGTTGGGAAAAAAACCCGACCATAATTGGTTTGGTTTGGTTTTAACTAAAGAAAGTCAAACCGAAACCAAACCAACCCGACATTACATATATATAAATTTTAGATATATTTAATGTACAAATATACTTATTGTGATGTAATTTATAAATATTTCGTAAAGGATTTCATAATTTTATCTTTTGAGGTATTATTTCAAGGTTGGACTTAGAACTTTTGAATGTTCCAATAAGTTTTATAGCCATTAACATTAGTAAATCAAATAGTGCTAACAAAAGCCCAAACCAAAATCAAATCAATAGTAATGCTAACAAAAGACATTCAATACAATACTACGAACGGGAATGTATTGAATATCTATTTTTTGTTTTGCAATAATTTAGAAAAAAATGCGCATAACATATTTTTATTTTTTCTTTAGCGTTTAGTCATGTAATTAATACTACCTTATTAGTCTACTTATTTTAGCATGACTTAGTACTTTTAGATTATGTTTATTTTTATTATAGTTTTTTAATTAGCGGCATTTATATTACATAAGTTTATTGTCTTTATTGTTGAATATTTTAGGATAATGCCATGACATATCTCATATTTTGTATTATTTTCTTAGAAGATACTTTATATAGTTGTATCTTACTAGGACTAAAGAAATATTTTGAGCACAATTTATATATCTTGTTCTACGAAGATTTTACCAGAAAAAAAAATCCGAAAAAACCCGAATAACCCGAAAACCCGAGAAAAACCGAGAGTGAAAAACCCAAATTTTATTGGTTTGGTTCGGTCTTTAGATTTAATAACCCGACACAATTAGTTTGGTTTGGTAATTGTAAAATCCGAACCAACCCGACCTATGTACATCCCTAGTGGTAGTATCGTCAAAAAGCAGATAACTGTGATAGGAATAATGAGGTTAACCAACTGACAATGTTGACAATAGTATTATGGTGGGACCAAAGTAGGCATCAGTTGAAGAAGACTTGAAAGAGAAAGGTAAAAGAACTGAAACTTTTTAGCGTGGTGTAACTAGGAATTTGAGTAGGGGGATTCAAAATAATGTAAATATTTCACATAAAAAAATATAAATTTGTATCGAGAAAATTCAATAGAGCTATATTTTACAAAAAATAAAATGCATTTACTCTTTTCAACGATGTAGGTAATTTATTTACAAAGGGGAATTGATTGAACCCTTTTTAGCAAACATAGCTCCGTGACCAACGCTGCTGGGACCTTAATTGTTGGGTTGAGATTGACCTGTGGAGCCTCATATAACATTATTATTATTAAAAAAATAAAAATTTAAAAATTTAAAAAAAAAAAAAAAAAAATAACACAAACATGTGCCATGTGATATATCTCACAATCTAACCCATTTTATGTTAAGGTGTTATATTGGACGTGGAGTTAAAAGAAAAAAAATTAGAATGTATGATAATATAATATTTAAGTGGCTATAAAATAATATTATGAAAAGTAAAATTAAAAATTTAAATTTACATTATTTTTAAATATGTGCAAACAGATTTAAAGGTATTTTGTAAGTTCTATGAAAGAACAAAAGAACAGATGATTATTTTGTAATGGAGTCTTCTGCCATGTGAAAGACAAACCTTATTTTGGGCGATTTGCATCTATACCCGCTTTTTGGGTCACGTTTTAACTTGTGCTTGCTTTGCAAAATAAATTGCAAGCGTACCCACTTTTTCGCGTAACTTCAGCATACGGGACTGAAGTAGCAAAGGCAATACGCTGAAGTTTTTTGTCCTGGATAAGATGTTGAAGTTATTTAGTTCATTTGTAAAAACTTCAGCACTAAAATAGTTGAAGTTTTTTGTCCTGGATTCATTAGTTTTGACATAAAACTTTTTCAAAAACTTCACCAGAAGATGCTGAAACTATTTAGTTCATTTATAAAAACTTCAGCACTAAAATAGCGAAGTTTTTTTGTCCTGGATTCATTAGTTTTGTCAAAAAACTTTTTCAAAAATTTCTGCAGAAGATACTGAAGTTATTTAGTTCATTTGTAAAAACTTCAGCACTAAATGAGCTAAAGATTTTTTGTCCTGGATTCATTAGTGTTGTCATAAAACTTTTTCAAAAACTTTAGCAGAAGATGTTGAAGTTATTTAGTTCATTTGTAAAAATTTCAGCACTAAATAAGCTGAAGTTTTTTTGTCCTGGATAAGCTTTTTCAAAAATTTCAGCAAAAGATGCTGAAGTTATTTAGTTCATTTGTAAAAACTTCAGCACTAAATAAGCTGAAGTTTTTTTGTCCTGGATAAGCTTTTTCAAAAACTTCAACAGAAGATGCTGAAGTCAGTGGCGAAGCCACATGCTTGTAAGGGTGGTCAACTGACCACCCTTCATCGAAAAATTGTACTGTATACGTAGGTAAAATATTACGTTTTAGAGGTATATAACACATATTGAACACCCTTTGTCGTAAAAAAATTTCACTTTTTTTAAATTTGAACACCCTTAAAGAAACCCCTAACTTCGCCACTGGCTGAAGTTATTTAGTTCATTTGTAAAAACTTCAGCACTATATAAGCTGAAGTTTTTGAAAAAGCTTTCTAACATATTAGATAAATAATCATCTTATTCTTTCATAGTGTATTACTACTATAAAATAATCAAATTGCCAACAATATCTAAATCATAAATTTTGAAAACAATAAACGTGAAAACAACAAAGTTACGTGGAAATGTTCACAAATTATTGTCTACTAACTTAGGGGTCGTTTGGTTGGAATATGATTTATACCGGTATAAGTTATGCCGGTATAAGTTATATTGGGTTAAGTTATGATGGGATTAGTTATGTTGGGATTGTTGTTTATTCATTGTTTGGTATGTTCTATTAAGAATGACAATTGCACAATTTCTAAGAAGAAGGTATAAGTTATACTGGTGCTAATTACCCCACAATCTATAAGGTATAAGTTATCCCAGTGTTAAAATTAATACCGGGATAACTTATACCTGGTTTGCTAACCAAACAAAGTACTAAGGTGGTATTAAATTTTTATATCACCCGTATACCTTCTTATACCTCATACCAAACGACCCCTTACGTAATTATTTATAATTTATTTTTAAATAATCTGATAAACATACTTATGGCAATCATCCCATGAACTGAAGTTTCATAGCAGCATCAGCAGTAGTAGAAGAAAGAAGAAGAAGAAAACGAAGGAGGAGAAGGAGGAGAAAGGGGCTGAATTTGTTTTAAAAGTGGGTACAAGTTAAAACTTTTTAAAAAAAATGAGTATAGGATAAATAGGGGCGACCAAATAGAACACTCTGTGCAATTTTTACCCTTATTTTGGTTTCCCCGAAAAGCAAAATACATTGACAGCTCATCGAACTTGTCCGATACTTAATCTAGCCACTTAAATAGGTAAAAGTTTATCTATATGCCCAATGTTTATAACAAATCAACCTAATATACCATGATTAAATTATAAATTAAGATGAAAAATACTAATTAAGCATGATTTAATAACAAAAATATAAGCAAAGACGTTTCATATATTTATTAAATTGGTAACTTGTTTTTAGTTTTATAACCTGCCTCTTTTATTTATACATGGAAGATTTACTTTTACACGTAAGAAATCTGTCTTTTACAAATAAAATATCTAAAAAAAGTCATTTTCTTAATTCAAAATTATATCGTGTATTCAAAATTGTAACGAAACACGATGTACAAATAGACTTGGTGAGAACATCAAATTCTGATACTAAGGCCCCGTTTGTCCATACATTTTGGTCCCGTTTTTTCAAATCTTTTTTGAAAACATTGTTTGTTTATAGATTAATGATCTATTTTTGAAAAATTTCTGAAATTATTTTTCAAGTTCCCAAAATCTAGTTTAGGGTATATTTTGGGTGAAACTTGTTCTCCCACTCACAAAACTTCAAAATTTTTTTTAAATAAAATGCATGTCCAAACATAATTTCGACTTCCAAAAATTATTTTTCAAAACTACTTCAAAAATTATTTTTTCAAGTTTCACTAAATCTATGTCCAAACGCTAGCTAAAACGTATACCAACTAAATATATGACCGCTTGAACAGTAGACTAAACCTATGATCACTTGAACAGTGACCTCTACTGGAACTATGTCACTCACACAGTCAGACACGACTCAATATCAGCCAGATCAGAGGCAGTGTCTTGTGCGAAGCGCGGACAAAAACAAGTTCTCTCTCTCTAGAGCTTTACCTGGTCATTGGACCAAATTTGCTACGTCAAGAAATGGGTCAAACAGGAACCACCAAAATACTTGGCCTGGTGAGTTTGATTGTGCTCTTGTTGTAGAAAGCTTTTCATTTAATTCTAATTGATCTGCTCAAAAATTAAAATAACAATAACTGAAACATTACGTCCTTTCGATATTGGAATTTGTCATCACTCAATTTAAAGTCGAACAATGTTGGTTTGCGTTTGACGTTTAAAGATGAAAAGACATCAAACAATGTCAAAAGAAATTACCCGAAGGAACAAGGTGCCATCGTTTTTGCATTAAACTAATTGATATTACCAGTTAAAGACAGCACTTTGAATTTGAATTCTTAAAGAAATAGAAAGCTTGCATAAAGAGCGTAGATTGTAAGACAATTTAACCATACTCACAGCAACCAAGTCTACAAAGATGGCTAATTACAATGACACTAAAACATCAGTTGTCAAGATAAATAACTCCAACACAACTTCAAGCTAGGCTAAAATATGATAACAGGTAGACTTAGCAGAAACCCCGATACATATATAATGCTCAACCTGCCTTGAGATTTCCTCTCTATCGATTATGGTACTAACAGCCAGCAATTCACCAAAGTGAAACTAAATATTGCATGTTAATACTAAACCAAAAAAAGTTCCAAATTGATATTCCCACTGAATTTCTGCAACTGCAGATGATACCAACCCACCACCAAGCTGCCACACCATTTTGCAGAGGCACGATTTCAGAGAAAAGTAACTCCAGAAACTTGAACAAATGAGTATATAACATTAGCTAGCAGCGGTATGAACAACTAAAGCAGAATAATCCATCCATTTGGGTACTAGCTAGAACACTGGGTATCATAACATTAAGACATTTCCATGCTAATGTAGGAACAGCATAGGTCCGATGAGGGTACAGGAAATCCAGAAGTGCCAAAGCAGAGGAAGCCTCCGCGCAATTCTAACCATATTGCATAAAGCAGAAACATCATCGCCACTCCCAGTCTTCAGCAAATCAACTTCAACATTTGCTAGGCAGGCCTCAGACCCACTAAGATGGCACTGTACACAAGATATGCTAGTGTGAGCTCCCGAAAAAAATTGATCAAATAACCAACAAATAAATAAACCACAAGACTAATGCATAGAATATCTCAAAAGCAATAGAATTTTAAGAGGAATTATGATTCTATTTTTGTACCATTACTGTACCACATCACGAACCACTTCAAGAAACATACTCCTAAAGAAGTCATGCAAATCCTAGTAGGCACCGAGGGTTTCCAGGATATAGAGTACGAAATATACTTAAATTTTCTTTTTTATGAAAGAGCAATTCACTGTTCCAATCTCAAACGGATATGGCCCACACCTCTACACTCTCCATTAAAATACCAAAGCTTGGTTCCCCAAAAAGATCTCAAATTTGTGACATGTACCAACCACATATCCTGCAATGTACTAGCTTTTTCGTTGAACCAAAGCCTAGGGAATTGTACAATGAAAAATCTTTTCTTATTGCGATTGCAGGTATGCTCACAATCAGATTTGCAACAAGAAGAAAAAGCAAACATCGAAAAAAGTCAACAAAGCTTCAGAAGTAAACATCAAGGACATACTGTATGTAGAAGTATCAATCTGCTCAGGAAGTTCTTTAATATCCACTTCAAACCTCTCCTGAACCTACAGTAGGTGAAAGCATAAAAAACTGATGTTAATACGGATGGCATTATAAATCATAACGGAGCCCAAAAAAAAGTGGACGTCTGACTCTCAACCTGATTGAGAACATCAGAATCTGATGCGGAGGACACAAATGTTATGGCAAGGCCTTTGGTTCCAAATCTACCAGCTCTTCCCACCTATCAGTATCATTCAAGATTAAACAATAAGACTACTTGGACAGGATCAGAATTCAGAACTTGAAAAAAATGAGTTCAAGGACAGATAGGACATACTCTGTGAAGGTAAGTATCTGCAGAATCTGGCATGTCATAGTTAATGACAATGTTAACCCTTTCAATGTCTATGCCTCTCCCAACCAAATCAGTCGCCACAAGAATTCTCTTGTGCCCTTCCTTGAAACCCTTGTAGCGTGTCAATCTATCAAGCAGCATAACATGATTACTGTCTCTTCTAATACACAAACACAATAGCCTTCAAGAAATCAAATGAAATGTATGGACAAGCAAATAACTCCAACGGGAACATTTGAAGAGATGCGCAAAAACATTAAAGAAAAATGCTTCTGAACCTTGTTCCTCTAACACAACTAATACCACAAATCCTGGGGGGAGGGGGGATGGAATCTTGTCGAGGAACTGATAATCTCGTTGACAATAGACTTCTCATGGTCACAGACAATTATTAAAATCATTGTTCACATTGAGTAAACACTGAGGAGTCGTTTGGTAGGACATATTAGGGAAAACAATACATGTATTAGCTTTGGCATTGTTATCCCTTGTTTGATAGTGTTTTTCAACCTAGTTCTAAACCCTATTCAGTACTATTCTTATACATGGCAAACCATGGCATTAGCAATACCATGGTTTTTAATACATGTAACAGAACTGCCCAATCAAAACCTTTTCCAAAGAAGTTTATGCAGGTTAATGCATGGAGGTATTTCTATAAACAAACAATTTTTAAAAAAAATTATGCAATGCATGTTAGTTTTAATGCACCAAACCAAATAATCGGTAAAAAATAATCTCAGCATAACTAATCCCAACATTACTAATCCCAGCATTACTAATACACCCTATTCAGTACTATTCATATACAACCTACCAAACAACCCCTGAGTGCATAAGCAGATAATATCAAGAGAAGTTGAACCAGAAGTCGGGCTTACCTTTCTTCCTGAGTCATGCCAGAGTGGATGCAGATAGCTGGAAAATTACACTCCACAAGTAACTTATTCAACTCTGCTGCTCTGCTCACGCTCTTGACAAAAATAACAACTTGGTTGAAGTCCAAAGCATCCAACAGGTCATTGAGCTTACGGTTTTTCTCAGTTTCACTCAATTTGATGTAGTGCTGCCATCAAATAGAAGCAACTTCAGGAAGATTGTGATAAGTAATAAAATGAAGGCAAAACATTAGGCTTCAACAATGTACCTGTACAAGTCCATGCAGGGTCAACTTGGCCTCATCATCAACATAAATTTCCATTGGCTGAAAGGAATAAACGTTATAGTAAAGGATATTAGGAGCTTCGTGAGCTAAGGGAATCTGATTACGAAATGAACGATGGATGAAGATCCTCCATCTGTGAATTTTCTCCTTGCAGCTTAAGAGTAAAAGCACCCAACCAGTCCCCCATGTTCAACATGTCTTTTTACAGCGCTTACCAAAAAGCTTCCAGTAGGACTCCAAGCATCAACCTCCCAGATTGACCCTTCTCCACTAACATCCCCACCCTCTTGACATCCATTTCCACAGTAAAGATCTTTCCCACCCCTGTTTACATCTTTAACTATGGGACAAGAACATGGAAGAACAAAGATGACAGACAAACCCAAGAAAACATAGAACTACAACCTTAATGGAAAAAATAGCTGCGAAGCACAGCTTTTACAGCTACCAGCTCCAAAGACACCTTATCTTTATTCACTTCCCCAGTAAAATTAAGTTGAGACAATGGTTATACCAAAAGAATACACTAAATTATTGCCTGGAGAAAGCTGAAATTATGGAAAAACGGTAGACTTCTAAAATCAAGAACTGGCCACAGGAAATTACATCTTGCATGAATTTCTTGCAAACCGGGCGAATCTCCTTGCTGAGAGTTGCAGAAAACATCATGACTTGCTTGTCATGAGGCGTCATTTTGAAGATCTCCTGCACGTCTCTCCTCATGTCTGCGTATGCAACAGATGTACTTAAGAAAAGTATTACCAAAGAGTAAAGATGATAGTAACTCTAGCAGCGAAAGTTATGTAACAAAAAGCTTAGCTAAGACATACCAAGGGATTCAAGCATCTTGTCACATTCATCTAGTATAAAATGCCTCACATTCCTCAAAGACAGGTCCTTTTCTCTTGCCAATGCAAGTACTCTTCCAGGAGTTCCAACGACAATATGCGGACATTCATTCTTCAGCAGCTCCTTATGGAGTTTGATGTTGACACCACCATAGAAAACAGCAACCTTGATATCGGGCAGATATGTGCTGAACCTCTCAAACTCATGACAGATCTGCAGATAGTGTAATTAGTTAGCAAATTAAACATCCTTTTTTGTCAGGTTAGCAAATTAGACATCATTTAACCTCGTATGAATGAAAAACAGAAAACTTGCAGATCAGAATACATGCCTGATAAGCTAATTCCCTAGTGTGACATAGAACCAGGGCAGCAACCTGACCAGCAACAGGTTCAATCTGTTGCAGAGTTGAAAGAACAAAAACAGCGGTTTTGCCCATTCCAGATTTAGCTTGGCAAATAACATCCATTCCCAGAATAGCTTGTGGAATACACTCGTGTTGCACTGATGAATAACCAAATACATGGAAGCCAACGAGACCTCAGTTTCAGTTTAAAAATTTTACCATTGTACATCTCCAAATTAGTAGTGGTAGGAGTAATTTACCTGAAAACAGAAGATAGAAAGAAGTTGTCAAGAACAACCTAGAAGGAAGAATATTACGGTCTAAGGAGAACAAAAAATGAGAATAATAATAACGATGATGATGATAACAATAATAACAACAGCAAAAACAACAACAACAATAATAATAAAAGACTTGTATAAGCACACTTATAAAACCCTACACAGATGCAGAACCTAAAAGGAAAAATTGAGACAACAGCCTACTATAGTAGGTAGCTCTTACAACAGCTTATGACCAGATTTCAGAACCCTATAATAGTTTCTCTCCACGCCACACTACATAGAAAGCAACAAGCTCCAGGGAAAATAAAGGACTGAGCCCACAAATGCATAAACGTCAAAACAGGTTAAAATAAAAGGTTCACTTGGAAAATTGGACCGGACTCACAAAGTTTTACAAGGCCTTCCTCTTAGTCCAACGAACACTAGTCTTACTCAAATTTATGATAAACGACTTACAACTAGCAAAGAAGTATACTGGATTGGAGGAACTGCACCACTTAAAAAAATGACGATAGCAGTGCACATTGGGCCACTATTGTTCACCTGACTATCACAGTTCTCAGAAAATTAAAATTTTGCTCTGATGATATTCATGGCATGGGAGGGTTATGAGCTAATCAAATCAGCCAATAACGCCTCAGCACGAAAATAGTTTAAATCCCACATATGGCTACTCTATATCCCTCCCCCCCCCCCCCAATGAATATCTTCTTCTACTGGTAAATTGTCACTTGAGGGAAATTGAGATTCCTTTAAAACTAGAGGTGTTCAAAATCTAACACCAATCCATACACAAGCGCAACAAGCCAAAAGGATACAATTCTGCATCTACTGAGTTTCAATAAAAAGGAATTGGGCACGACATAGAACACATATGATCCATGTTTCATAGCTTATTTCTTCTATTCAGCACAAAAGAACCCCCCCCCCCTTTTTTTTTTGCTTGATTCAAAGGAAAGAGGAAACTAAGCACGGAATATGCTTTGTACTCGACCGTAAATCCTAAATCCTTGCACTTATCCACATACCAACGGTAGCATTATTTTGGTGAGGAAATGCAAGCAAACATATACTTATTTTTACACACTTATTAGCTTCAATTAAAGAAGATAAGACTGGAGGAGGAGAATGCTTAGAAGAGGCCACCGCAAATAAGTTCAAAGATTTTATTATCAATTTTTTTTACAGGACAGTACTGAAATAGACAATTTTGGTTAGGAAGGAAAACATGTCCAGGTACAAGATAACTTGCCTTCGGAAGGATGCTCAAACCCAGAGTCCACAATAGCCCGCAATAGCTCTGGCTTAAGAAGAAAATCTCTGAAACCCGAACTGTGAATACCAACATAACCCCTGCATCCACCAAAAAAAGACCATAAAATTAATACTTGATTCGAAGTATACAAAATTTCTAGCTTGACAAAGCAGATCAAAGGGGGTCACAGAAATAAATACCACCCAAGTACTGATCAAAAAAGAAAACCCTTGAGAAAATACAACAAAAAATTGACAAGTTTGAAAAGTGTCAGATTGACATTAGACTATCCCAGCAAGCCAGCACCATGGAAATATTTATAGAGCAAATACAAAAAAAATTATCAACAAGAACATAGATAAAGAATGTACATCAATCAATCAATCATTTAAGCCTCCACCCAAACTAGTCAAAATTAACTAACTGAATCCTTGATATTTCAATCTACTCAGACCTGCTTCTTTTCATTACTAATATATTTGACCTCTAAAAATATAAAAAATGAACCGCCTCTACTGAGGCTCAATCACAAACTAGCTAAGTTTGGCTATATTATTCCTCTATATCTTTTCTACTCTATTTAGGCAAGTTCGGTTCCATACCAATAAACAGATGGGGAAAAAACATACGAAAAGGTCATAAAAACCTCTAATTCTTAACTATACACAACTCAATAACAGACAAACAAAAAAAATAGAGATATAGGCTTATTTCAAGCAGGAAAAGGATCAGAAACCCAAAATAATGTAATTTTTAAGCAGCAAAAAATTCTCAAGCACGTAGCTTCCCCAACATAAAATACGAAGCATAATAGCATAATTTCAATCAACTAACTAGGTTGGACCAAACCATAACGCATGAACATAGGCTTCATAACTATGTTACAAAATATTATTACTAAGAAATACAACAAAGGATTAAAAAACATTGACGTAAGCCTAAAATTAAAGAAAATAGTTCCAGTGTAAACAACATAGAAAAAACAGACACATTTAATATCGGCATGAAGATCTCACTTTTTGGCGGACTCGCCGTTGACTTTTCCGGTGACGGGATCAGGGAGTTTTTCATCATCTTCTTCATAGTCGAGAAGCTCCTCTTCATATGCATCGTTCTCCTTGTTCTCGCCCATTCTTTTGCTATGAACTATTACTACAAAATACGCCAGATCCAATCACAAAATATCAGTAATTTAAAATCGAAGTAAAATATGGATAAATACGTACAAAAATCAGAGATTTGAGAGGAAAGTTGCTCTTACCTTACAGAATCTCAGAGAAAAGTTGGATCTTGGTCGGGGAAATTAGGGCTAGGGTTGAGCAGAAGCGTCTGCAGGAAAAATGTTAGGACAAAAATAGGAAAAATATAAATCGTATGCGGGAGCAGAGAGTGATAGGGTTTTGTGATAGAGGGGCAGGTTATAAATGACGAGATGCTGAAAACTTTGTTGACGAGTTTGTCCTTAGCTCCTTTTACGAATTTGTACAAAAGTCGGCTTAAACTATGGGGATATTTTGGACATTTTAAATTTTTAATATCTCTCCTTCTGAAAAAAGGTCCTTTTCCTTTTCCGTTGATGGAGATTCCCTTTTGACCTTAGTATAATTTGCTATATTTTAAGCCTTTGTATATTTGTAAATAACGAAGACAAGATTCGCTTAGACTAAGAAAAAGAGCACCATAACACAAGAAAGTGATCCTTTTTGGGCTAATATAGAAAAACTCGTGGTAAATCTTCATAAATGAAGCAAAAGGATTCCATTTGACTTTCAATAAAGCATCTCATAGTAAGCTTCTACTAATCAAGAAGCAAATTGTATTCAACTCTTATTTCGAGTTTCAATAATAATAACTTGAGTTAATATTAATTGGAAATCCCCATTTTCATTATATATCCAATGAAGTAGGAGCTTGCTCCCTTTTTAGTGATACTTCTATCGCTTGCCTCTCGAGATCCTACATGAAAGACAATTGCGAGAACCTGTCTGGATTGCGTGGCGATTTAACAAGCGTATTACCTGTTTCAAGATTAAGACTCGGAAGAAAATCCCTCTAAGTCTCCCGTCTCATGAAGTTAGAGATTCTCCGAAAATAAAAGGTTTGTAAGGATTGCATTTATGATTGCCTTCTTGTACAATTTTTGTTACCGTCCTTGTTTTTATTATTTTCAATATTGCTTCTTTACTACTATTATTTTTATTTATTAAACCTACTTTAAAATATTTTTCTTGAGCCAAAGGTCTAATGAAAACAGTTTCTCTACCTCCACAAGGTAGGGAAAAGGTCTGCAATCAGTGGCGGATCCAGAATTTTTAAATTTTGGGTGCTCAATTATTTTTAATCTGAAAATTACTACTGAGACAGGGTGCTTAATTAATATATTTGTATAATTTACTAGTTTTTTTTTTATAACTATAAAGTTTGGCTCCAAAAGCAATGGGTGCTCAAGCACCCATAATCCATAATATACATCCGCCACTATCTGTAACACACTATCCTCCCCAAACTCGACATATGAAAATATATCGAATATGTTATTATTGTTTCTTGTATAGTTTTTGTGTGACATGATAATGAACTTGAGTACAATCAAGATAATATTACTTGGCTCCTATGAGTTACTAGATATAAGCCATCATTTCACCCAAAAAAAAAAAAAGATTGAATGATTTGGTCCTTTTACTTACTTATGATGAGACATTAGACACCTTAATTAAACTTGAGCATCCTTATATTATAGCAACAATTATCTGTAGTGGCATTTCTAGCAATGTGCCACATAAAAATTTATCGATACTGTTGTGAATGCGGTTATTTTGTCGCCCCATCAGTTTATGCTCGAAAAATGTTAATGAGGGATAAATCTAACTTTCTAATGACCCAACAAGATTATTAAGTCATTTTTCTATTTTTCCTTATGAGAGTATGTTTGTCGTATTGCCTAAATAAAATGACTCATGTGAATAATTACTTGTACACAACTAGTACATGAATTGTCCTACCTAACCACGGGACTTCTAGTAACTTATTGATCGTAATACAAAATTTATTATAGAAATAACGACCTTCTTCTCAATTTATGCATTTAGATTAAGTTTTCTCAAATCTTGCACCAAAATTAGAGGTTTTTATGTTAAAATAACTTTAATTTGAGTGACTTCATAAATTACCAAAGAACTTGGTTCTTTGCCTAACTTCTTACTCGTAAATGAAATAAACAGTAAACAAGAACAGCAATTTTATGTGAAAAATCACCCGGCTCAAAGGTGCAAAAAATACGACCTACCACGTAGGATTTTAACTTCGACTTCAGTAGAACAAATGTATTAAATGTACTGATTACAAAACTTGTAAACCAATACCCACACGCTTCTCTTACTTCTACTACTTGAATGAATTACAAGTTACTCTAACTTGCACACTCAAATAATGACTCCAGCTGACTTATTTTGAATGACATCATAATACAACTCAATCTCCTAATACACGTGAACTAACAGACTCAAGAAGCATACTGACTTTCAGTGCACACTAATGATTAACTTGAGTGTTAAACTACAATTGTTGTATGTCGTTCTTTAGTTGATGTGCAAATCAGTCCATAAGGAAAGTATTTAATTTCCCAGAAATTTTTGAGATCTTTGGGAGTCCTACATGCAGTCAACTTTTTATTTGGCAGCAATCCTAAAGTTCCACAGACTCCACAAATCTCGTGACTCTTGTCTATCAATTATGCGGGAAGAAATTTTTGGGCAATAATCCTTATCGCATCAAGAGTCCTTTTTAGCAATATTGGACTATAGTAACTTTATGTAAAAGTTACTGTCTTGTAAGAACCTTCAACAACTACCTTGAGGACCTGGTTCTGAGCACACGTTCGGCAACTGCCTTGAGGACCTGGTTCTTAGCACACGTTCACTTGACACACTTGTTAATCATCAAAATCCCAATTCTCAAGAAATGCTCTTTTTTTTATGATGAAAAACTTTGTGCTCATGAACCAGGTAATGGCATTCATAAACATACACAGTACATCACAGTTGAGAGCAATAGAGATTGTGAGCAACACAAACACTTGAACAGACATATCCCCAGGACAAGTGCATCACCCCTCTCCCCCCCCCCCCCAACTCTATCTTCCCCCTTTTGGCATCATAAAAAAAATAGTTATTAGACAGTCTAAGCAACAGTTAATGCAAGATTTATGGCCATTGAGGCTACAATACAATCACATGAAACATCAAGACAAATAAACTATGATGATGATATGAACTATGTGAGAAGTAGGTACAACATAAGACAGTTCATTAAGTAGTGCCAAATTAAGCCCAGAGCCTTGAACTAAAACATTAAAATAAAATAGACTAAAACATCCTGCAAACTACTCAAAATCTAGACTAGAAAGACAAAACACAACACCACTAAGCGAACAAAAAACAGACGGGAGACACTGGGCAAAGGACCAAAATCAAGGGTGAGAGGTGGAGGGGGTCAAGGCTTTCACAAGAGTGGCATTCTGTTGAGCATGAGCCTCTCTATCTCTTCTAAGCTCCTCCCTAAGCTCTCTGGTTTCCTTCTCAACTCATCATTGTCCTTCCCGAGCCTAGCATTTTCTTCTAAAGACAACTCCAACCTTTTATAGAGTTCAGCAGTCATGCTGCTTCGAGGAAAAATGGCATAATCAATTGGCCCTTTAGCCTTGATATCAGCATATCCATACTGTTTGAGTGTGACAAAATCCATAACATCATTGTGATTCCCATTTCAGCTCAGATAAGGATATATTGAGCTTGTCAAACAACTCAGTTAGGATAAAGCCATAAGGCATAACATGCTTAGGCTTGGAGGTGTCTACAGCCCTTACCATATGTTGAATCATCGGGTTAGGAAGATTTATGGCTCTACATGTATCCAGCAGATTCATTACAGCCATATGAAGCAATGCGCCCTCATGCCTCCTCTTATATCTCCAGAATGCAAGAGTTCACAAAGTAAAATAACAGTTTGTGAAAAAGTGTCATGTCAATTTTGTACACCTTTTAGGGAGCATCCAGCTCAAACTTCTGGGAGAACTTTCTGGTAATCACAATTCATGTGGCCACATCATTGTCAATACCAGGCCACTTCTTCTTCAAATAGTTGTCAAATCCTAGAGAAGGAATGTTAAATAGCATACCAAGCTCTTCAGCATCAAACTCCATCCCAAACCCTCTCACGTAACTCTTTAATACCTTGCCATCAAACTAAAAATTTGCGTAGAACTCAACCACTGTAGGCATACATACAGGGGGAAAGGCTTTAACAAATATATCTATCCATCCCTGTAGGTCAAGATTTGCTACCAACTGGGCCTTGCCTTTTTCATCAGTGTTAGCAAGTATCTTCTCATTCAATATTTTTCTATTTTTGAACTTAGTCAACCTGTCAACTACCCCAGACTTAGCCATTTTCTTCTTCCTTTTACTAGTCTTCTGAGAGGTGGTAGTTACTTTGGTGGGTTTTAGCAGTAGTCTTCTTCATTGGTGGTTTCTTGACACTTAGGGAAAAACCATGTTCATCCTCCTCAACTCTACTGCAGTTTCAGCAATAGGAATTTGCTTTCTTGACCTCTTGGGACTCCTGGACTCCTTGATCATTTGTTCATTAACAACTTTTCTCTTGCTCCTGGTAAGAGGAGTCCTAGTGAAAGGAGCCACTTCCCTTCTTGCCCATGAAACTGGTCTTGTATGTTTTGCAGGAGTCTTCCTGTTCTTCTTCCCAACCTCAGATAATGGCAAATCATCCTCATCACTATCAGCTTCCCCATCCCCTAAAAAGGAGTTAAGGAAGGCCTAGGTTCTTCAGACCCTTCCTCTTCATGAACTTCTTCTAAAAGGCCATGACTGTATTTTCAATAATCATATAACCTTCAGATTTCTCACTGGTATTGTGTTTTTCGCATTCAGATTCAGTACCCTCACCTTCACTTTCTTTTTCATATTTATTACCATCACTTTCAGAGTCATCTTCTCCTTCACTTCCTATTTCTTCTTCTTCTGAATCTCCCACTTGCTCACCTAATTGTTCTTCTACCTCACCTTCTTTCCCTTGACCTAATTTACCCTCATCCCCACATTTCTTTTCTTCAGAACTTTGAGATTTCTCCTGCACTTCTTATCCCTTCTTTTTTGTTTCTTCTTCTCCTTCGCTATGAGTTTCCTCCTCATCATCATCATCATTTCAATTGTAAAAACTACCATAAGAACTTTCTTTATCCCATGTTTCTTTCTCAGCTCCCCCCTCAACCACAGATAAGTCTGCAACTATTTCTAAATTTTTCTCTTGAGTTACTACTTCCTTTTCTGCATCAGTACTTTCTACATGTGGTGAGTCACTTAAGGGTTCAACAACTTCCAACGGGGAAACCTCAATTGTAGAGGCTAAAACAACAAGTTTTTATGGAGGAGGTTTTACATGAGCATATTTGATTATTGCAGATTCCCCATGAGCAGTAGCCTCCTTTACTTTTTGTTCCCCCTTAGCAGTAGCACAATCCACTTCTTTACCAATCTTTATTGGTTTCCTTGAAGTAGCCTCGACCTTAGTGGTTTTGGAGGTGATTTGTGAGACAGAATACAGGTTCATGGGTGATTGGTTTTGGAGATGGAGGTGCAGCGGGAGTAGAAACTACAGGTGTAACAGTAACAAAGGGTGATGGTGCCGTAACAATAGTGGGCATGGGTGGAGAGATAGCAGGTGCAGGTTCAGAATTACCAGCCGAATTTATACTTTTCTTTGGCTTAGACTTCTCAATTTTGGACTTAGTAGGCTTAGACGATGATTTTGCTTTTGAAAAGGTTTGGTTAGACTTAGTCATGGTGGTGAGAGGACGATAATTTGCTTTGGTTCTTGCTTAGGATTTGAGAGGAACATTGAGGTTTGAGAGAAGTACCAATAGAGGGCTTTTAAAGAGAGTAATCTTAATTTAACTAGAAGAGAGAGAGAGAGAGAGAGAGAGAGAGAGAGAGTGAGAGAGAGTAATTGAATTTGAGTTCTAACGGGACTCTAATAATAGTTATTTTTTATGACTAGACTCTTAAAATTAATTAAAATCTAAATATCTAATTACACTAGGATTCTCCCTTGATCCTTGATTTTGATAACAACTAGGAGTGATGCTAACTATATTAGGAAGTCTGAGAGTAACAGTAATTTAAGTTATTAGGTTTCAATAATTTTAGACAAGATGGCATGTACCTAAGTCCAAAAACCAACTCCTTTGCAACTCCTTAGTCGTTTATGCAATAAAGCTTCCAGCACAATAAGTTAATATCGCCAGGTATAGTCATCAATTAAACTTTCTAAGCAAATAAGTATACTAAATATGAGACTGAATCAATCAAGTATTTGATACCTCAACTATCTACATCTATTGACTCATTTTCTAGCCAATCAATGGGGTTCAACCTAGTGGGAGGCAATGATTAATTCAAGTTCTAGTTTTTTTCTTTGAAAGTGTAACCTACTCAGTGCTTTAACAAAAATTCAATTTTATAAAAATTTATTGACATATTCCCTTTTTCAACATTGTCTTTGAGAAAATGATGTATGATATTAATGTGTTCAGTTCTCTTATGCCGATATGGATTTTTAGCAATTTTTATGTGGTGTTGTCACAAAAAATAGGAACATATTAACAGAAATACTGTATTCCCTGAGTTGTTGTCTTATCCGTAGTAGTTGAGTACAACAAGATGTTGTTGCTACATATTCTGCTTCAACTGTACATAGGGCCACTGAGTTTTGCTTCTTTGTTCCCCAAGACACCAGGCATGAACCAAAAAATATGATGTTCCTGTAGTACTTTTCCTATCAACATGAAAACCATCATAGTTGACGAGTGCAAAACACAACACAAAATTATTGCTCGCTAGTCAAAGATAGTATAGTTTAATTATCATCTCCACAAGGATTGGATTTAAACAGTTTGATTACTATACAGGAAAATTAATACTTGATTTAATCATTATCAACTATGATTAATTACTAAAAGTTAAGCAATTAACCACAAAAGACAACAGATGAGCAACGAGATATCAATTAGAGAAATAAGGATAATTGACTAGACAAGTGCAAGATAATTGACTCGGGAGCCAATTTTTGAGTTAGTTCAATCTATAATACTGTTGATTCTCACGAATTCAACAGATAATCAGATTACAGTTGAAGTTAATGTTCCTCTTCGTAAATGTTAAATTCAGTAATTAATCCAATTGAAGCACGATAAATAATTACAACAAATAAAATAATGGTTATGATCTAAAAGGTAACTTCTCACGAATATTTTTCTATTTTCTAGCTCGATTAACAATTCAAGAGGCCTTTTCGATTACCTACCTGAATCACGATTTTAAACTAGAGCATAAAATGTAAATAAATTCAATATCAAGCTCATCTTTCGATTAAGTAAAATAAGAAATAACTTCACAATACGAATTAAAACTCCATCAATTAATTCCAACAATTACCAAGAATCGAGTCCCTAATCAAGTTATCAAAACACCGTATCTGTCAATACCCTAATGGGAATTACTCCATAGCAATGGAAAAAGTCATCTCAATAAATTTTAAAAACATAGAAAACATCAATGCTAATGATTCGATACAAACTCCCGTATTGCACCGATCGTTGATTGAAATCTTGATGAATTCTTGTGTCTTCTTTCCTTAGTTGCTTCTCAAATCTTTCGTAGGTCAAAAGTCCCTCCAAATATGTATTTTCGGTGTATTTATACCCTGTACGAACGGGCCCGAACGAAACTAAACTTTCCTAGCCAAAATAGGAAATAACTTCGAGAAACTTGTACAGGCGTGTCGCGCCATACGGCGCGCTTGAGAGGATAATCAGAGAGCAGACTTTTTGACAGGCCGCCACTTTTACATAGTCGTGCCGTGCCATGCGACGCTCTGTGACGACCCGGACCGTCGTCACGTGAGTTACCGCCCCGTTTCCCCCATTTTCTGCTTCCTTATGTTTCATTATAGGAGTCATGGGTGAATGAGTCGATTTGGATTGGTTTTAGAAGGAAATGAGACACTTAGTCTCTGTAAGGAAAGTTTGAATTGGAAAAGTCAACCGGATGTTGACTTATGAGTTAGAGGGTTCGGATGTGATTTTCGATGATTCGGTTAGCTTCAGGGATGATTTGTGACTTAGGAGTGTGATCGAAATTTATTTTGGAGGTCCGGTGTAGAATTAGGCTTGAATTGGCAAAGTTAGTATTTTGGCAAATTTCGGTTGATAGGTGAGATTTTGATCCGAGGGTCGGAATGGAATTCCGAGAGTTGTTGCAGCTTCATTAGGAGATTTTGGATGTGTGTGCAAAATTTCAGGTTATTCGGAGGTATTTTGGTCGGGTTTTTGATCAAATGCGTAATTCGGAAGTTTTAGAAGAACTTAGGCTTGAAGCCGATGTAATTTGAGGGTTTTGGTGTTATTTGTGGTGTTTTGATGATTGGAGCAAGTTCGAATGATGTTTTAAGATGGATTGGCACTTTTGGTTGAGGTCCCGGGGGCCTCGGGGTGATTTCGAATAGCTAACGGGATGGATTTTGGAGTTGTGAAATTTGCTGGTTTGCTGATATCTGGTATCTCCACATCTGCAGAAAAGGGGCCGCATATGCGGTTCCGCAGATGCGAAGATTTGGTCGCAGGTGCGAGTGTGGGCTATGTGGAGGAATTCCGCAGAAGCGGTCCATGTTGATGAAGGGTCTTCCGCCAGAAGCGATAGGTTGTGCGCAGATACGGTCACCGCAGGAGCGGGATTGGACCGCAGAAGTGGTCCTGGGCGTATTAGTGAGTTCCGCAGAAGCGGATGGAAAACCGCAGAAGCGGTAGTCGCATGCGGAAAGGTAACCGCAGATGCGAAAAAGACTGTTCAGAGAAGGGTTTTAAAACTCATTTGGTTCCGCGAGCTTAAGTTCATTTCCTCCATTTTTGATCGACCTTGGGAGCTTTTGGGCAGAAATTGAAGGGGATTTCGACTAGGTGTGATTGGAGGTGAGTTCCTTGACCTTAATACATGATTTAATGGTAGAATTAACATAGAAATTTGTGGAAATTCATCAAAAGAGGGTAAAGCTAGGGCTTGGAAATTTGGTATTTCAAAGTGGGATTTGATGGGTCATTTGGGCTCGGATTTGGGAGTTTTTGGTATGTATAGACTCGTGGCGAGATAAGGAATCCGTTGATGTAAAATTTTCTGAAATTCGAGGAGTGGGCCCGGGGCTCGGGTTTTGCAAATTTCGTAATTTTTGATGTTTTTCGATTCTTTTCGATTGGGTATTGTTCCATTGGCATATTGTGACGTATTCGTTGTGGTTTTGGTCAGATTTGACGTGTGAGGAGGCCGATTTGCGAGGCAAGGGCATAGCAAGCTAGGATTTTGGCCGGCTTGAGGTGAGTAATGATAGTAAATGATATCCTGAGGGTTTGGAACTCGGATTTGCACAACGTAGTGCTATATTGAGGTAAAACACATGCTTAATGGCAAGCGCGGGGTTGTTTACTACTGGGGATCGTGACTTGGTTCTCCTGTTTGATATTTTACCGCGTATTTGACTGAGCTGTCTTGTTTATCATCATGATTTGGGCTTATTGCCATATTTTGGGGCTTAATGCTGACTACTTGAATCCTTCGTGGATTTTTATCACTATTTTCCTCACTATTTTGATATACCACTTGAACTCAGTCCTGTTGATTATACTGTTTTACAAACTCAGCTGCTTTAATTGAACTTCGAGGCTTAAATGATATTTCCACTGTTGTTTGGGCTGAGCACTACTATTTTACTGATGCCTGAGGGGCTTATGATGTTTTTCTGGACTGAGTGAGGCCGAGGGCCATATGTGAGGATAT